CTAGATATCCGGATTTGCTGGACCTTGTACCTGAACTAAGACTTGAGTCTATTGTGAAGGGCTCACATATAGACATGCATACATATCAATCCCTGATGGCACTGTTGGGCAAGCCTTGTACGACTTACATTTTTTCTCTTTTGTGTCTATGAACACACTTTATTAGGAAGGGGCAATCACTAACAGTAGATTGTTGGGTTTTGTTCCCCATGCTATACTGTCACATAAGGTCCAGGATTCTAGAAAGCATTGCATGTCAAAAGACAGAAAACCTTTAACTTCTCAGTGATATGAGCTCTTAAAAAATGGCTTTACTTGACCTCATAACACAACTTGTAGTACTTTCTCTTTAATGGATTTAAAGAACTTTTGTTTTCTAAAATATTTCTGGTCTGACTATGAGGTGTTGCTATGCAGGTATATGAAAATACACTAAGGTGTGTTCAACTTAAGACATATTGAGTGAAGGTTTCTGACATGATGTACAGTGGTTAATATTTGGGTTGGTTGGCTTTCGGATGTATAAATACTTTGGTCTTATTTTGTATCACTGACAATCCACAGGGTTGGCTGCTGTGTGCTGAACTTTCTGTTCTAGACTTTCTGCCAAGTACTTTATGCAAAACACTGGTTTTAGTGAAACAGGTTTTATTGTTTTTAGGCAGACACATTAGAAGCAGTGTTAGCTATGTGATGCAAACAGAAGAGTTGGTATGTATATATAGCCATGAAAACAAACCACCCAAACAAGCCTTTCTCTGTTCAATTGGATGGTCCCCTCCCATTCCTGTAGCCTCAGTCATGTTGTTTACTGCTGGAGATCTGAGATGGTGTAATATTCTTTTCTAGGAACTTGGAATTAGAATTCCTCGACCACTAGGACACGGACCAAGCAGATTCATCCCAGAAAAGGAGGTATGTTATTTGAGAAAGTACATAGTGAACTATATGCTTTTAAGGAAATGCTTTCATGACCCACATTTTGGCTTCTTAACAACTGTTGGTCAACAACATGTTTGACACAGTTGATCACAGTTAATCATGCTTTGGCAGTGAATCTGTGGGATTAGAAAACTGCTTTTAATCTTACTGATTTCAAATATTTTGTGTTTTTTAACACCCATATTTAATCAAGGAAAACCAAAGCTTGTTTTTAACTAATGATAGTCTCATCTGCTCATATTAAGATGTTATTTTGGAATGCCTCTAAACACAGTTATTTACAGTACTTTGAATTGGTTCATGACTTCTCCTGAGGATTTGCATTTCCAGCCTGGATATCCTCAACCAGAATCAATATTCCCACAAGGTCTCCAGTGGACATACCGGGGAATCATGTTAAAATGGTAGATTCTGATTTAGTATAGGGAAAGGACTTCAAAAACTTTATGGAAAATGAATTTGTTGCATAACCACTACTACGGAATACGTAGCTGCTCTTCTTTGGTCCTGTTACTAGTTGAACTTAAGTTTGTGGGGTTGTAACTCCTTGCTTTGAAGCCAAATTTAAAGTGCTTCATAGTGAAATTTAGAATACAATACTTGCATATTTTTTTCTTAAACACCTATTTACAATTTTTCTCTTACTTATGCAGATTCTCCAAGTGGGGAGTGAAGACGCACAGATGCATGCTTTATTTGCAGATTCTTTTGCTGCTTTGGGTCGTTTGGATAACATTACTTTAGTGATGGTTTTTCATCCACAATATTTAGAAAGTTTCTTAAAAACTCAACACTATCTACTGCAAATGGACGGGCCATTACCTCTTCATTATCGGCACTACATTGGAATAATGGTTTGTAAAAATTCTTTGTCTTTCCTAAGAGAATTTTATTACTTGACGCCACAGATAAATATGTACACTCTAGCCTGTAATGTGATTCCCATTACATAGTCTCTGAATTTTTTTCTTTGTAAATAAGTGTGCACTCAATTGTAACAACGAAAATACACATAGAAAACATGGATTTATAACCACCGGGAACCATTAAATAAAGAGTACTGCATCGAACCCATTTTATTACTCTAAATATTTTACATTATATAAGTACTGTTTTACATTAAATAAGAGCACTGCATAGAACCCATTTCATTACTATAAATATTTTACATTGCTATAAATATTGCTAATTTTATCCAATTTGTAAATACAAGTACTTTAAAGAGTTCGTGGAAAAATGGAATTAAAAGATAATGAGCTTTCCCCACAAACTTTGTAATAATCCATTAATTTTGTTTTTAAATCATTTTATTGGGGCTCGTACAACTTTTATCACAATCCATACATACATCCAATGTGTCAAGTACATTTGTGCGTTTATTGCTATCATCATTCTCAAAACACTTTCTTTCTACTTGAGCCCTTAGAATAAGCTCCTCATTTCCCCCCCCT